TTTATTGTCCTAATTTTGTAATTTTGCAACATTTTGTGTCTGCAGTTATATTTAAAATGTAGATTGTGACTAATTGTGACTTTTACACAGCCATTAAAAATATATTTTGGCCAAATAATCTTAGGCATCGATCTGAGTTTCTGATGAACATAAAGCCCAGTTACAAAAAGCTACCTCCACCCTCGCCAGAAGCAAAAGATATACAGAACTGGACCTTGGTAGATGAAGCTGGGGAAGAGGTATTTACTTTAACTTGCTTAATCTTAAATAAGTTGATGCAAAAAATTTTCTGTTATTTTGACAATGTTGAAAAATAAGGAGCCACGTGTTGTGAATAACTGAAAAGTTACTGGAAGTAATGTGAGGTCTGTGATCTCCTTCAGTCGTTATTAAGATATTAAAAATTTTCTTTGCATTTGAACCAAAATTACTTGTTAGAATTAATATGATTAATTGATTTAAGTGATTTAAGTCACAATAGAAAGACAGAACATATTGTTCATCTGGTTACAGCTGAAAAATGACAACACTTAAATTTTGATTTTATGGGCTCTTGTTATAAAATTATAAGAGAGGTCTGTGAGAATCTAAATAACTCATTTGGGCCAGAGTCCGTGACTAAAAATTTTATGATGATAGATCTAATAAGATTTTTTTAAAGATTTTGTGGTAATCCGTGAATTTTTAGAAAGCTGCATAAAATTAAGTATCAGTTTGCAATAAAGAGCAGGTTTGAGGTAAGTCTTCAGTCATTCACAACTGAGTTCAAAGATCTCCACGCATGTATCGGATATGCCATCATTCAATATATTCAGAATTTTGGTGTCCAAAGGAATATGTGGAGCAAGCGGGAAAATGGAATTTGGGCAAATAATCAAGCATGATCACATTGACTGAAAAAGTTTAGAGTCTTACAGTCTATTCCTAATTCCAGTTCTTAAGTACATAAGTAACAGAATTTAGTCACAAAGTACCTATTGTACAATGGAATTAACTATTTTATATTCATCTGAAAAGAAAAATTGTACCACCTTATGAACCTTTAACAATAATTTTTTTAATGTTATTGTGTAAGCAAATGTGGTCATTAATTTTACATATAACAGAATGTCGCAAATTGTGAGTCAAATGGCCAGCTAATTGTTTCTTTTGGAAATTGAAATAGGAATTTTCAAAGAACTCTTATCTTCTGGTCTGTTATACCTATATGAATTATTTTTGATTTCACACTTTTTATTCACTGACATTTGTAGAATCCAAGACAAGTTTCTTGAGCACGTGCGTTGTACTGAAGTTTATGTAAAGTTGAACACAAAATATTAGCATTAAAGAAAATGGAAATTTTCAGGAAGAGTTGATTTGAGTGGTAGAAGTTGCAGAAAGAAATTAAAGCCATTGAGGAATTGATGTGGGTCATTGGAACTGATAACTTTTGAAATCACCAAAAATGGAAGTCTGCTGTTGCAGAACCCAAATGAGAAGAGGAGACAACTTGAGCTGGGAAATTGCCAGGGTCGTCATATTACAGTAAATGATGAGAGTACATCATTGCTTCAGTACTACCGTGCAGTGTCAACCTAGATTAAGTGCTCAGAAGTTTCTGGAGTGAGGTATAAACTCATGTCATTAGAGTTCTGACTTGGATGAGCATGCTATCCATGAGCCAAAATGATCACTTATGGAGAAAAAGGAAGTTGTCCTAGTTTTCAGGCCATGATTCCAATCCAGCTTTGTAACCAACAACAGATTAGCCCGCTGTACCTTTGCTGTTTGTAGGGCCTAAGTGTATGTAAGTTGCCTGTCAGCATAACTAACTTCACAATTAATTAATTAGTTGTGCATACCAGAACTTCAAGAGAGTCAGGGGCAGAGGTGAGTATAGTGGCCATCACTAAGGCGAAGGTGTTGGGAAAGGTGGAAGATCTGAAGGTGGATAAATCAACAGACCAGATAGACTACACCCCCCAGAGTTCCGAAGGAGATAGCTGAAGAGATTGTAGAGGCATTAGTGGTAATCTTTCAGAAATCTCTGGAGTCAAGGAGGGTCCCAGAGGACTGGAAAATGACAAATGTAATACCCCTTTGTAAGAAGGGAGGGAAGCAGAAGACAGAAAATTATAGGCAGTTAACCTGACCACGGTTGTTGATAAGATTTTTGAGTCCATTATTAAGGATAAAATAGCAGAATACTTGGAAGTGAGTGGTAAAATAGGGCTGAGTCAACATGGGTTTGTCAAGGGGAGGTCATGCCTGACAAATCTGTTAGAATTCTTTGAAGTAATGAGCAAGTTAGACAAAGGAGAGTCAGTGGACATGATCTATTTGATTTCCAGAAGTTATTTGACAAGGTGCCGAGCAGGAGGCTGCTAAATAAGTTAAGACCCCCATAATGTTAGGGGCCAGGTACTGACATGGATAGAGGATTGGCTGATTGGCAGAAGACAGAGAGTGGGACAATGGCACCAGTGACTAGAGGAGTTCCGCAAGGGTCCACATGGGTACAACAGCTATTCATGTTATATATTAACAATCTGGACAAAGAAACTGAAGACATTATTGCTAAGTTTGCTGATGACAAAGGTGGACAGGAAGGTAGTGTTGAGGAAGTAGAGAGACTGCAGAAGGACTTGGAAAAGCTAGGAGAATGGACAGCGAAGTGACAAATGGAATACACTTATGTTAGAAAGAATAGAGGCATAGACCCTTTTCTAAATAGGGAGAGGCTTTGGAAATCTGGCACACAAAGGGACTTAGTAGTTCTAGTTCAGGATAACATACAAGCTCAGTTGGTACTTAGGGAGGAAATGCAATGTTAACATTAATTTAAAGAGGTCTAGAATACAAGTGCAGAAATGTACTACTGAGGCTTTATAATGCTCTGGTCAGACCGCATTTGGAATATTTTGAACAGTTTTGGGCCCCATATCTAAGGAAGGATATGCTAGCCTTGGAGGGAGTCCAGATTGTTAGTGTTTAACGTGAATAGTTGTCATCCCAACGTGGACCCCTGCGGAACTCCACCAGTCACTGGCATGAGGGCATGAAGGGCTTGTCATTTGAAGAGCGATTGAGGACTTTGGGCCTGTGCTCAACCGAGTTTCAAAGGATGAGGGAAGGACCTCATTGAAATTTACCGAATGCTGAAAGGCCTGGATAGAATAATGTGGAGAAGATGTTTCCACTAGTAGGAGAGACTAGGATCCAAGCGCACAGCCTCGAGAGTGAAGGAATGACCCTTTAGAACTGCGATGGGGAGGATTTTCTTCAGAGCTGTGAATTTATGGAACTTATTGCCACAGAAGGCTGTGGAGGCCAAGTCATTGAGAGCATTTAAGACAAAGATAGATAGGTCCTTGAGAAGTAAGGTGATGAAAGGATACAAGAAGAAGGCAGGAAAATACACATCAGCCATAATCAAATGGTGGATCAAACTCGATGATTCAAATGGCCTAATCTGACTCCGATATCTTATGGTCTATGAAGCAATGTTCCACAGATTGGAAAAGGAACTATAAAAACACAGTTCTTTTTTTTGCGTACTTATTATCGATTGACTTATTTTTATGCTTAAAAATAAGAGGCCTAGGCTAATGATGTAGGGACATGGGTTCAATTCCCACCATGTCAGCCGGTGTAATTTAAATTCGATTAAGAAAAAATTCTGGAAGTGAAAATACGTCTAGGTGATGGTGGCAGTGAAAACTATCATTGATTGTGGTAAACACGGATCTGGTTAACTGGCGAATAGTTGAGAACTGGCGAGCAGCTAATGTTCCTCTGTGCAAGAAGGGAAATGGGGATAACCCAAACTATAGACGAGTGAGTCTCTCATTGGTGAGCTATTTGAGACAATTATTAGGGATTAGATTTACTTGCATTTGGAAAAGCATATCTTAATTAGGGACAGTCAGCGTGGTTTTGTGCGGGGCTGGTCATATCTTGCCAATGTGATTGAATTTTTTGAGGAGGTGACAAAGGAGGTTGATGAGGTTAGAGCAGTGGATGTTGTTTGGATGAATTTTAGTAAGGCTTTCGATAAGGTCCAGAAGATTAAGATGCATGAGATCCACTGTGACTTGGCCATGTGGATTTAAAACCTGGCTTGCCCATAGAAGGCAGAGGCTGGTGGTGGAAGGGTGTTTTTCTGACTGAAGGTCCATGACTAGTGGTATTCTGCAGGGATCTGTACTGCGACCTCTGCTATTTGTCATATATATGAATGACTTGGAAGATAATGTAGATGGGTGGGTTAGTAAGTTTGCAGAAGATACAAAGATCAGTGGAGTTGTAGGTAGTGTAGAGGTTGTCAAATTTATAGTGGGATATAGATCAGTTGCAGACATGGGTGGAGAAATGGCAGATGGACTTCAGTCTTGATAAGAGTGAGGAAATGTTAAGAAAAAGTATACAGTTAATCGCACCATCCGGAACAACATTGATGCACAGAGGGATCCTGGGGTTCAAGTCCATAGCTGAAAGTGGCCACGCAAGTAGATACAGTGGTAAAGAAGGCGTATGGCATACTTGCCTTTATTGGTCAGGAAATTGATTTCAAGAGTCAGGATGTCATGTTGCAGCTTTATAAGACTTTGGTTAGGCCACATTTAGAGTACTGCCTTCAGTTCTGGTTACCACATTACAGGAAGGATGTGGAAGTTTTGGAGAGGGTGCAGAAGAGATTTCCCGGGATGCTGCCTGGATTAGAGGGTATGAGCTATAAGGAGAGACTAGAAAAATTTGTGTTGTTTTCTCTGGAGCGGCGGAAGCTAAGGGGAGATTTGATAGAAATTTATAAAATTATGAGATGCATAGATAAAGTTGACAGTCAGAATCTTTTTCCCAGAGTGGAAGTGCCTAATACTAATGGGCATGCATTTATGGTGAGAGAGGGAAAGCTCAAAGGAGACGTGAGGGGCACAGAGTGGTAGGAGTCTGGAACACATTGTCAGGAGTGTTGATGGAGGCAGATAAGATAGGGGCATTTAAGGAACTTTTAGATAAGCACATGAATATGCAAGTAACAGAAGGATATGGACCAAGGGCAGGCAGATGGGATTAGTTTAATTTGGTGTCATGTTCGGCACAACGTCGTGGGCTGAAGGGCCCATTCCTTTGCTGTACAGTTCTGTGTTCTAATGTCCCTTATGGAAGAAACTGACATTATCTGGTCTAGTCTACATATGACTCTAGACTCATAGCAATATGATTTAACTTTAGGCTGCCATCTGAAATGGCCCAGCAAACCACTCATTAGAGATAGGCTACAAAATGCTGGCTTTCCCATATCCCTTGAAACAATAAAGAAAGCAAAAGCTGTGCATGTACTATGCTGGGCATAGGAGGAAGTAGGAGTGAGGTTCTGGGAAAATATATCATATATCCTGAAACAAAATAGGGAAATATGTTTATTCAATTAATGTATGATTATTATCAAGTTTCATGTTGCTTCATAATCTAGGATGAAGATCCTGAAACCAGCTGGCTACTACTATCTGAGGATGACTTTGTTACCCTTCTGTCACAGTTTCCTTTTGACGAACTGTTTAAGCAATTACTTGGAATAACTGTAAAAGGTAATGCTGGTTAAGTTGAATGGTTTTTTAATTATAAGACCATCAGGCCAGGTAAAGCACAGTAGTGTTCTGCTAATGATTGTTAGGGAAAGAGTAAAAGTCGCAAATGTTAGTATGTAAAAACATTTATAAATCCAAAAAATGTTGTTTGTATTTTCAATGACCATAGGGTAAAGGAGTGAACAGCGAATTTATGCAAAGCTTTGGTCAGAGTACCATGGAAGCTTTTGGCTGCTGCATTGAAGAAAGAACATTAAAGTTTTACAACATGTTCGACATGAATTTACCAAGATGAATCCAGGAGCAAGATTTGTTATGTGACAATGAGGAACGATTTGTGATACGTGATGCATTTTCTCTAGAGCAGAGAAGGCTAATTTATTAGAGTAAAAACTGAAAGAACTGTGGATGCTGTAAATCAGGAACAAAAACAAAGTTGCTGGAAAAGCTCAACAGGTCTGGCAGCATCTGTGAAGGAGAAAACAGTATTTGTTACCTGTTGCCTGCCCCTTTAACGCACCACCCTGTTCCCTGGCCAACATGTCTGTCTCTGGCTTTCTGCAGTGTTCTAGCAAAGCTCAACACAAGCTGGAAGAACAACACCTCATTTTCCGCTTGGGGACCCTGCAACCCTCTGGACTCGATATCGAGTTGAACAATTTTAGGGCCTAAACTCTCCCATGTCCCCAGCCCCCTACCCCACACATCAAGCCTTGTTACCACATAGCCTGCCATTACGCACCACCTGTTAGTCACTAATAGTCCCCATTAACAACTATTCACCCTCCCAGCCTGATCGTTATCAACTCTGTGTCCAACTACTCTTCTCTCTCTTTGGGCTCTATCCTATTGTTTACTCCCTACCCCATCCCCCTCCCCTTTTTCTGCTTATGAACTGATGTTTACCCAGCCACCATCAGTTCTGGGGAAGGATCACCAGACCTGAAACGTTAACTTTGTTTTTCCCTTCACAGATGCTACCAGACCTGCTGAGCTTTTCCAGCTAATTTATAGAGGTTTTTTTAAATGATGGGGTGTGATAATGAATAACAGACGTTATAGATTTAGAATCAGTGCTAAGGATGGTCACCAATTTAAAATAGTCACCAAGAATAACGATTCATTTCTGTATGGCATTATTGGAATGTAGTATGCTTTGACACAGGAGCTGAGGGAGGCATTTCATGCTTTTTGACAAATGTGGATCAGTATTTGTTACCAATGATAGTACAGTGCAGTGTTTCAGTAGTAGACCCCAGGGACAGCTTTCATCAATGGCAGAAGGATTGAATGCTTTTAGCTGGTGGATAGAGTGCCGATCAAGCAGGTTGCTTTGTTCTAGATGGTGTTGAGCTCCAGACAAGTGAAAGTCTTTCATCATATTCTGACTTGTGATTTATAGATGTTGGACAGTATTTGAGAGTCAAGAGCTAAATTATTTGCCATAGAATCAATATTCAAATAGCTGATTACATCAAGTTCTGATTAATGATAACTTCCAGGGTGTCAACTGTGTGGGATTCAGCAATGGTAATGCTGTTAACTATCAAGAAGAGATGGTTAGATTCTCCCTTGTTGGAGATGGTCATTGCTTGGCACATTGCTGAGGTGAATATTATCACTTTTCAGCCCAAGCCTGAAAGTTGTCCCAATCTTGCTGCATATTGCTGTGGAATACTTAAATATCCGAGGAGTCGCAAACAGTACTGAACGTTGTGTAATTGCCAATGAACATGCCCACTTCAGACCATAAGATGAAGGGAAAGACATTGAAGTAGCTGAATAAAGTGGGGCCTAGGGAAGTACCCTAAGGACACTCCTACAACACTGTGCTGGAACTGAGATAATTTGCCTCAGTAATCCTAACCGTCTTGCTTTGTACTAGATATGACTCCAAGTAACGGAGAGTTTTCAGTCTAATAAGAGTTGACTTAGTTTTGCTCAGGCACCGTTCCTTGATGCCACACACTCAACTGCTCTCTTGATGTCAAGGTCAGTCAGTCTCTCTTCACCTCTCATGTTCAGCATTTTTTCCCCATGTTTGGACCAAGGCTGTAATGAGGTCAGGTGGCCTTGGAGAAGCCAATACTGGGTGTCAGTGATCTAGTAAAAACCGAAAGAACTGCGGATGCTGTAAATCAGGAACAAAAACAAAGTCGTTGGAAAAGCTCAGCAGGTCTGGCAGCATCTGTGAAGGAAAAAACAGAGTTAACATTTCGGGGCTGGTGACCCTTCCTCAGAACGTTCTGAGGGAGGGTCACTGGACCCAAAACGTTAACTCTGTTTTTTCCCTTCACAGATGCTGACAGACCTGCTGAGCTTTTCCAGCAACTTTGTTTTTGTTGTCACTGATCTAGTATTGCTCTATGATCCCTTCCATCACTTTTCTGATGATGGAGAATAAACTGATGAAACAATTGTTGGCTGGATTGGATTTGTCCTGCATTTTGCAGGTAGGATATACCTGAGCAGTTTACCACATTGTTGAGTAGTTACCAGTGTTGCAGCAGCTGTGTCGTAACTATTTACAAATAGGAAATGAATCTGCATGAATGTCATGAGAAAACCATATTATTGTGAAGTCTACCAATTTGACATCAAGTATCATGAGATATTAAGACACTTGTAATTTCATTGTGTTCGTTCAGATAAAAGAAAGTAACAATTTGTTTCTGCCACTGTTATATAATAAATGATTTAATCCATCCTGTCTAGTGATTATTCACTTGGGAGGATTTTCTAGCTATCTTGCAGAATAACTATTCCATCCATATCAAGTGAATGTGATTTTTAACATTGATGCTACAAATGTCATTACACTAGTTTTCATGTTGAATAGGTGAATACAATCCAGAAAAAACCACAAGTGATCAGATGATGAAAATCATTGGATTTGCATCCTCATTGGTGGAAGTGCTGGCAGTGGGTTTGGAAACTTTTAACAGAGTACGATACAGGCAATTTGTGAAGAGGATTGGTCAGATGATCAGGTGAGGTAAAGGTAATGTTGGTTAAGCATTGTACAGTTGGCCTCTGGGGTGCATTGATAGAATCAGTGGTGACGCTAAGGAAACCAAAAGCTGAGGGTACAGTTCTGAGTGTACTTTACAGATTATCAAACCACATAGATTGGGGAAGAGTCATGGATTGAAATTATCTGCATAAGCAGGGCATGAACGTATGGCAGAACTCCTAAATTCTTTACATAGGTGAAAATAACATTGGAGGATATGGGACAGATAAAGAGTCATAGACTGTTATTTATTTTAAACAAAACTTAACAGGACCTCTGGTAACTAAGTGACCCATTCCTGATAGCATATACCTAAACTATTAAAAAGAAGTTGAAGACAAGATAGTATAGGTATGATCTGCAATTTTCCGGTATTACTTTGCTGGAGAATTGTAGTACCTCTGTTCAAGAAGACCGAAGAATAATACAAATAACTACAAACCAGTTGTTTAACATCATTTGTAGGCGATCACTTTGATTTCAATATTAATTCACCATGGCACACCATGAAGGGTGTGTCGGAAAAAATATTAGAAGCTTGGACAGCCCCTCAGTTTCCCATATGGCAATCCATTGGATTTTTTTTAACTCAATAGGTTTTCTGGCATCGAAGTCTCTTCACTTTCTTAATATTTCTAAATTGGGCTATATCAGTGCAATTAAACGTCTGGTTTAAATGTATGTGTTGCCATGTGGGTTTGTCCAGGCTCTTGTAGCCTTGCAGCATCAGGTAGCTGGAGGTGATGGGTCAAGAAATGCCTTTTATGTAGCTTCCTATTGGATAGGATGATCAGGGGTACTCGGGAAATTTCTGGCCTCTCCTCTGCCAGTCACGGCTTCTCTCTTCACTCCATTGATTGGTGATCGATCCCTGAAATGCCAGTCCCTTGCCATCAATTATTTCCTTTAAAGTCTAATCTAACTTACATTCCTGACTACTATCCCCTTTCCACCATACTTAGATCACATTTCCTCCCTCCAACAATAGTCTATCAGTTATTTGAAAGTAAATTTAATACTGTTTATGAAATATTGGCAGATAATATTAATGAAAGTAATCTAATGTATGTAACATATTGTAAGTTTTCAGAAGGTACTCTGTACATTGTTTTATGAGGAAAGAGTTCAGGTAAATGGATTGGAGAAGGACCAAAATGGTTTACACCAGCACAAAATGTTAATTTCATGTTCATTGCATGCATAAATGGTTCATATGAATTTAAATTCCAATGTTTGCCAATGATATAGATTTGTTACTGGAACCAAGATGATTGAGGAAATTTTAAAACGTCTTAAATTTTTGAAACCTTTTAAATTTTAAAAACTAGGAAATTTGACATTTTACCCTGGCATCTGTTGGTTGAAACCATAACTATCTGGTATACTGAGGTATTCAATCCTTGCTCACCAAAATCTCCTTTAAATAAGTGTTCAAGAAGGCAATCTGCAAGATTGACCAATTTTGCTGCATGATGAGTGAGTCAGGTGCAAAGAATTGTTAGTGACTCCCTAAAGTGGGAAAAGTTCATCCTGCTTAAATTGTAGCCCTCTCTAAAACCCTATTAAAGCATTTTACTTGTTTCCATAAATTTTTTTCATTCCTCAGATTCTTCTGTTAGTAATCAACATTTTTTAATTTGCTAAAAGTTAATTTCCTACCTTCTATTACATGCAAAGGCCATTTTGAATATTGCCTGTTTGAAAACAAATGTTTTAAACTGAAAATGCATAATAATGAGAAACCTGAAAACCACAAAATACATGAGGAAAAACACAAGGTGAATGAAACAGCAGGTGCCTGAATGTAGAAGAGGCTGAGGACATACAGTATTATGATTTGTTTAGATAATTCATCTGTTCTCAGTTTTAAAACTATTTGTTCTATTTTCAAATGAATTACTAGGAGAACAATTTGTTACATAAGTGACCACTGGGCTCAGTATGTCACTTTTCACAAAGAGCATGAAGCTAAGATATATCACCAGTTTTATTCTCTTGAAAAGCTGCAAATAGAATTTGATGAGCTGGTTCTTCGGGCAGTACTTCACGTGCTGAAAGCCAAAAGGTATGTTGATGTCAACGCATATGTATATACAAATAACAAGGTGTAGAGCTGGATGAACACAGCAGGCCAAG